AAGCAATAGATCACATTATAATTAACAAAACCGCAACTAGATATGAAATAAAAACTTCTAATCTAGGTTACAGTGTCCACGATGCTCAAATTCTTACAATTACTAATAACATGAACACTGACACAATAAATAATACACGCGTGTGTAGAGCATTAACTAAAGTTAACATAAAATTATTTACGGACTACTTGCTGAAGGAATCGTGGGACACAGTTTAACGTGTAACACATCGAAGGAATCGTGGGACACTGTGTAACAGTTTATATCAAATGAATAATATAATCTATGTTTCTCATAACTTTCATTTCACTTTAACACATGATTTCCTCTCAAAAAGAGAAAATTAAACATTTAACGGAAAACTAATACTTGGATCACACAAGTAATTATAACACCGAGTGAAAACAAAAGTAAAGCTTTACTTTATTTCTAAACATCATAACGTATGGTGTTTCCATGTCTACTTCCGAGAATACAAAATAATTTTAAGGAAAGTAATAGTTTAGGTAAAAATAATGAAAAAATAATCAGGATATTTTGAACGATAGTAACAAAACTAAAACATACGATATCATCTCGTTACTTAGTAGAGAATGTTTTAAAGGATAATGAAAGTGAAGCAAGTAATCCGAAAAAAGTGGCAAATCTCTACAACGAACACTTTTCTAGAATTGCTAGAAATCACGAAGGGACAAAAACCGGAACTAAACGGTGGGGAGATATTTTCATACAATACTGATATTTATAATTACAACACACGTCGTGAAAATCACGTTCATCAAGTGTCAGTATCATCAGCTCACTATCAGAAATACATATACAATACGTATGCATTACTTTACAACGCATTGGCAGATGACATTAAACAATTGAAGTCGGTTCAGACATTCAAGTTAAAAGTAAAATCTTTTCTGCTGCATAACTGTTTCTATACAATTAGAGACTATACTGATCATCTAAAAGAAAAATGTTTATTTTAACAAAACAGTGATATATACTGACTTAGTTCACATTTGTATTGTATTAAAAAAAGACTTAATATGCTTGTAACAAATAATGTACTTTAGCTTGCAGGTCAATGTCCCCCATCTCGATCAGTTTCCCTGATACTTTGAGCAAATGCTGAGACGGCCCCATGTTTTGCTTCTGGATGTAGCTTCACTATACGCACGTTTTGTAGAACTCTCCTTTTGCTTGTAGTGGTAGGAGTAGAGGCAAGGGCGAGTTACTGTCCCGTCTGGTCCAAATGTTTCAAGTTGACTTAGATTACAGATTCCATCACGAAGAGAAACCAGTCACCCGTTTGTTTTACTTGAATGATCTCCTATTGTATCCTAGGAATACAGAATTTTTTTAAAAATATTTGTGATAAACTATTTCTTATATCTGCATAAAATTGCCTTGACAAATGTGTAAAAATCCACCTAAAAAGAGGCAAAGTGGTAACAACAGAAAGTATTAAAGTTCATATGCACTTGATTTATTTTCGTCGGCAAACACGCACTTAGCTCTTTCGCAACCAACCGTCTAAACAACGCATTAGAAGCGCATCCATGGCAACGGTCGATAAAATGCTCGAGAGTCCAAATATATATGTGTGTGTGTGTGTATATATAT